GAAAGAGTGCCCTACCAACAAGTGCGAGCCCAGCTAACTTCTCGTTTCCTCTTAAAACGTTCCTTTGGAAAAAACCCAAATGACAGCGGTTGACAATCCCAACCAATTTGTTGAGATTCCCCCCAGCTGCACCCATCCATCGGGTCCTAACGTTCCTCTGCTCCCATCAGCCGTTTCTTGTCTTGTATTTGGACGGAAAACTATTGGTAGCACGCACCCTCTTTGATTTTCAATTAAGAGTGGACCGTCTGTAGTAAAGCATCCCTTTATATATGGAAACAGGAGGAACTTTTTTAATTAAAACTACAGGAGGAATTTTTTTAACTAAAAATTAAACCAAACCCAGTATGTTTTAAGTAAGCATATATATCTCTCCATCTAAAAAATATGCATATATGTGCATATATATACACACATACACACATATAATGTTTGTGTGTTCCTGTGACTCTCCTAATAAAAGCAGTATTTATATACTCATTTATATAAAATACTTCTTACTATGGCTACCCAGTTAAAGCTAATCTCATTCAGGTTCTTCTTGTCGAAGGACACCCACAAGAAATCCATTGCACTTCTGCATCAGATCCTTCTGTTAGTTCAAACGAACACCGTGCATTTATTTACCCTCAAACAGATGCAGTCCCCCTACCGCACGAGAGTTGTAGTTCTGAGTGTTTCCCAACTCGGGTGCCTTCGCAACTGCACGTGTGCTCCACATACAGACGTGCTTGAGAGATGGGAGTCTTTGAATACAGACTTTTAATTTTCTTCAACAAACTTTTAGCTCCAGTTAAATTCAGCAAACCGATACATAAATATTCTCACTCACTCTCTGTATATATACATATGTTTGCACACATACATGTGCACACACACAGATATGTGTGTATATATACGCATACACAAACAGGAGAGCCCAAAACCTTGCCCTTTGCCCAGTAGCTTGCAGTGTTTTTGCTCGCTGGTTCTTTTGTTTCAGACAGAAATGACGAGACCTTTTCTCCGTCACACGTTCACAAAGGCACCGGCAGGCGCTACACAGCACGGGTCGGTAGGCGAACCAGTAGCGCGACCGTCCCATTTGCTCATGTCAGTAGCAGGCAACCTCTAACACTTGTTTTGGGAGAGGAAAATGGTTTTGGGAGGTTACGGAGCCCAATCATTCTGCATCTTAGCAAAAAGTTAAGGCTTGAGAACCTGGCAGCTTATCAGGCAAGATTTCCACAAATGCAAACCTCGCTGTGGGTGTATTTCAAAGCAACACATAACCGTCTAGGAAAGTCCCCAATAAATTACTCCGACGTTGTCTCAAAGAACAACATTCCCAGTCTAGTAGAGAAATTTTAACAGCAGCAACTACCTTCATTTCAAAAAACCAAATCTTGGCTTCAGCAAAACCAGCACGAATTTCTTAGGGACTCAAAATCTTCTCCGTAGAAAAGTCTTCCGCATCCTCTTGCTGCCTAAAAAATACCATTGGGTCACACACAAAATAGAAACTGTGCAATGAGATGTTCAAAACTGTATCGGACAAACACTGCGTAGGCTGTGAAGAACACGCTCCTCACATTCCCAGAATTGGTCCATGAAAGTTTCAGCGTCAAGTGGAAACCGAGCTGTTTTCCAGCTCTTAGCGTGTGCATCTTTCTTCTATGGTTCTTGCATGAAACAGGAACCGTGTTCAGCAGCATCCGAGACCCCTCCTTTTACCACTTCTTTTTTTTTTTTTCAAATTGCAAATCAGAACCCTGGAAGCATTCTGAGCACTGGCTGTTCTCACAGATGTCAAGGGGAGTTTTCAAATGCCATCACCAAGAGCTGAATTTTACCCTTTATGCTGGACCACGTTTTGCAAAATGCCCAGCAAAACGGGGTTTTCCAAACAACTGTGACATCAGGATAACCCTTTTATAAGCAACAGTAAGAAGGGATTTAGACTTGGAGAATGTCCGCTTGCGTGTCCCGGGTGCTACTCAACGTGTTCCGAGGAATAAACGCTCTTTGTGCTTGCCCCTAGAGCAGGGCAATGTCGGAAAGGGCACAGGCCATGTAATTTGCCCTGGGCTAGGTGGACCTTTATTTCCTATGGACAAAATTTGACTTCTGAAGTAATTCACTCATCTTTATTGCTACTTTGGATAAAATAACTGTGAAGGGAGAATCTGTATGTTTCCAAACTAAAACCTGTACTTGTTCCCAAACTTTTAACTAGTTTACATACTCAAATTATTGTATGTGTTTTTCTTACACTTGCCCTTTCCTTTCTAAGACAGCAGGTTTCCAGAGTTCTCTGGGTGCAGAAATATCCCCAGCCTGCACAGAGAGCCGCTCAAGCTTCACACAAACAAAACCTTTCAGTTAAAAAGTAGATCCTGCCTAAAAAATGTGAGCAAGCCGAACCCTGAAGGAGGTTGATCAAAGCCCAGGAAAACACACGGTCATTCCAAAACCCCCTTATTTTACCCACTGGAAAACACTAAAAAATACATACAGGACACTGACTTTATTAAAAATTATGTCATGTGCCAAAAGCTGCACAAATTTGATAAGGATAAGGACTTGTATGCCTGAAGGACTTTTTTTTTAGTTTTATCAGTCAATTAAAAAAAAAGAAAAAGAAAAAAAAAAGAAAGGTATCTCCCTCCCTCTAAATCTTGTCCTGTAATTTCCCAGTATATTTTCCAGGCCAAGTGAGAATACGCAGGTCTGTACTGTTGAACACACATGTTCATTTGGATGTTCAAAACATCCTTTTCTCTCCTGCATTCTTTCATCTCCCCCCCTTTACCCCTGCTATGGCCTTTGTTATCCTTCTGATGACCTATATCTTATTCTAAATGTATGCATGTATTAGATATGCCTGTGTGTATATAAATAGACAGATACGTACACACAATGTACAAACAAAAGTACATACAGAAACATACATTAAATGCTTGAGATACATGAGTAGATTGGTTCCACGGAGTCACAGTTTGGAATCTTGTATTACTTCAGCTTGGTTCTACAGAGATGTTCACCTCTCTCCACCCCACCTCCTGAAACTCCTACGGTGCTAAATCTGAGCACTGCTGAGAGTCAAGCCAAGTAAGTGTATTTATCCACCTAAACTTCCAACCTGCTATCGTACTACCTTGGCATTAGCCTCCCGTGTTAGCCTGAATCACCCTTAAGGTTAATATTCCAGTCTGTGACCAACAGTGAGTTGCGTCAGACAGTGAGGATTCAGCAAATGCAGGGTCATCCACATCTTTAACAGTAGAAAACTAGAACTATATATAGAAAAGTTAGCTTTTTATAATTTTTCTTTTAAGACAGTATGTAGCCAGCTCAAAAAATGAAACCAGCACGTTAGGACACTGAGCGTACATCCATCGTTACAGAAGTCTGGTCTGAATTAGACATGGAAGTCATTCAAACGATTTCAGTTCTGACCTTACTGTATCATTCAATTCACCTGTATCACCAATGTCTTCACGACCTGCATCTGAACAGCAATTCACTCAGTTTGTAAAAATCTAAATTTGCAGTGGTCACTTACCATAGCTCGCAATATGCACATGAATTTTCTCGCATCCTATCTGTGTATTATGTGCTGAATGACAACTTTTATTTAAAAAGGGATTCCAGAAATAAAATATTACAGGCATTAATAGAACTTTCTGAAGAATGACATAATAGTCCCACAACCCTTTACTGAGTTGAAAATGAAGTGATCTTCAAACCTCTTACTACTGTGATCAAAAAATCAAGTACTGTAAAATAACATGTAAGCTAGAGAAACTAGACTGGTAAATGAAGAAAATGCGATTTTTCTTGACAGGTAAATCTAGTCGTCGTGATTGTTGGAGCTTCTTTTCCTAGTCATTAAGCCTGATAACATGTCTAACAAGGATTTACAAGAAAAAACCACCTACTTCATTTTAAAAATAAATCTAGGTGATATCCAGTAAGAAGTAGAAACTAAAGTGACTTTGAAAAAGATAACCAGACTAGAAACCACCAAGTGATCTGAAGGCTTGGGAACAGTTCACGTCATTCATTAACATCACTTTGAATCACCAGTCACGCGGAGCCAGTTTCTCTTTTCTGACGCTCTTGGGGGGACGACCTTCGTAAGTCTGTCCAGCAGGTGGCTTTGATCCTCTTTCAGACGTGTACAAACCCATCAAGTGAGGTTCCTTGACACAGAAAACCATCAGTGCTGCAGTAGAAAATTAGTGGCTACATTTAAGTCATTATTTGAAGCCCTCAGAGCTTCTAGAGCATCTCCCCTGGAAAATCCCATTTCCATAAGTCGTGCAACCTGGAAAAGAAATAGCATAGCACCGCTTTAAAACCAGAGTTTTATTCACACTTGTGTGCACGTTACGTCACGTTAACACTGTCAGAGGTCACTTTTCCACTGATCAGGCTGTTCAAAAGCTGAACTTTCCAGAGAGTAAGCAAGCAGGGATGTGCACTGTCACAAAGATGCGCCTGGGACAGCATGCTTGAAAACATTGCCACAGGCAGAGACGTGACTGCTTTCTGATAGTTTATTCAAAACCAACCGTTTGCTGAAAAAGCCACACCTGTATTTTCCTAGCCGGTCCAGTTTTGAAAAAAAGAGTGAAATAGAAAGTATGACACCACACATGACAACCTAGTATTCTCAAAACAGTGTAAGTCAATGACATTTGATGGAAGAATTACCTGGAAAAGGGCATATTAAGACAGTGATTTTTGGTAATCAATAGCCACTTGGCCATCCCTCCTTACAATACCATGTACTCGACACCTAACCTTTTTGCTCTGTGCTAACAGGTATTCAAATTACCACGTGTAAAAACCAATGTAGGTATAAGCAAATTTAATTTATGGTTAAATTCCAATCTAAAGTACATTTCAAGTCTACAATTCTCAATTACATATGACTGAAAGTCACAACTCACGTAAAATTAACTGTGGCCACTGGCAGTGTAAAGCATTAAAGCACCCTGCTCCGAACAACCTGTGACCAGATACCACAACTCCTGGACCTGGAAGTTCTGGGCTACAGGAGCTGCCTGGGAGCTTTCGCTGCTCCTCCTCTGCTTGTATGGAGCCTGCAGCAGCAGAATGAAGCTGAGCAGGAACGCAGCCAAGGCCCTTTACATCTCAGGAGGACTCTTCCCAGGGTGCAAGAGCAACGTGCACTGGTACTGAAAGTCCTTCAAATGCCTTTTAAAAGAAAGGTGCCAGTAAAAGCAACCCCCCTCCCC